CCTCACGGTCACATGATCAAAATTCAGATGCTTGGCAACTGACTCATACTTATGACGGTTGAGACTGTCCTGTCCCGGGATCAAAATGATCACATTTTCTGACGAGCAAAGTCAATGGGGAAACCAAATTCACTTAACAACGGTGTTACTAACTTAACAGCTGCAGTGATACACTTAACAACTTAAATCTTAAAAAGGTTGGCAAGGTTGAAAAAAAATGGCTTAAACTATAAAGCCAACTATAACAAAACAAGTAGGTTGTATACAACACAGTGACTCACACACACACATACACACAGACCAGTGGTGGGTTTCAAAAATTTTTACTACCGGTTCTGTGGGTGTGGCTTGGTGGGTGTGGCATGCAGTGGTGGGTTTTGACCGGTTCGCCCTGGTTCAGACGAACCAGTAGTGGTGGCGGTGGGAGGCTCCACCCACCCACCCAGACGTCATTACAGACGCTCTGCATATGCACAGAAGGTTCTACGCATGTGCAGAAGTGCTGCCTGCGAGCAAAGCAAGCAGGCACCCACACACGCTCCCACTTCCGAACCTGCAGCAAAAGTAAGTGGAACCCACTACTGGTGGCATGGCTGGGTGGGCATGGCAGGGGAAGGATACTGTAAAATCTCCATTCCCTCCCGATCTGCTGGGACTCGGGAGGCAGAGAATAGATGGGGGCAGGGCCAGTCAGAGGTGGTATTTACCGGTTCTCCAAACTACTCAAAATTTCCGCTACCAGTTCTTCAGAACTGGTCAGAACCTGCTGAATACCACCTCTGACACACACAATCTAGCGAGGGTAAGGGATAACCGAGTCTAACAGGTAAAAGGCATGTTTAAAAGCAGCAAACTAGGTTTATATCTGACCTGGTTAAGTGTAGAGTGTAAACACAGCCTTCCTTTTCTTTCTTTTTATTTTTTTTTATTTATTTTTTTTAATTTGATTTATATGCCGCCCTTCTCCGAAGACTCAGGGCGGCTTACAATGTGCTCAGCAATAGCCTTCATCCTTTTGTATATTTATACAAAGTCAGCTTATTGCCCCCACAACTGGGTCCTGGTTTCTTTGACATTGATCCCTACACTACCTCTTTCTAGTAGCAACAGGTCTCAAAAAAGGACTAAATAATTTACATGTGATTTATCCTTTGAAGTTAGGAGAGCGAGAGAGAGAATCTCTATGAATTTGCTAACAGTGTAGGTTGCTAACCTTTTTGCCATCGTGTGCCAAAAACGGGCGGAGCGCGGGGGGTCGCACACGTGCACCTGCCCACACCCATAATGCAATGGGCCCTGCCCCCCCACGCATGCGCATGCAACCTCACCCTGACCACGCACATGGTTTGAGGTCCTGGCAAAAAGAGCACATAGGTGAGAGAGGGAGATTTATACCCTCTGTTGGGCTTTGAACTTGCTTCCTCTTCCTGTGGCAGGAAATGTATCCTGATTAGTTGTCAGACTCCCATGCTTGGTTGAATCTTGCTGGGTGATGTAATCTTCCCAGGTGTCATGTGATGAGATGGATAGAGGGCTAATCCTATTATGTCCTGAGGATGAAGGTCTTTTGTTTTGTAGATAAGCTGGCCCAACCTTTTGTCTTGTAAATAACCAAAGTATCTGCTGGGGGCAGGGAGCTGGGGTTGAGTTTCTGTTTTAAGATTTCTATTTTTCTTTTAGGGGAAATATTCTGCCTTTTTAATATTTCCTAGAAAATTTCATTTTTCTAGGAGAGGGGTGGGTGCTAACTTCCTTCTGCCAAGAGATTCACAGGGCAGGCAAATGCCCAGGGATTCCATGTCAGCAATACACTGTATCATGGGTCCCTCTTGCAATAACTGGATGTGGTCCCTTTGTTTATTCCAGCTTGTGTTTGGAAAGGAAATTTCAAGCAGAGACCACTACAGATCAAACAGAGTGAAATCTTCCACCAATACCTCCGATTTGTCACTTGCTGAAAAGTATGTGCTGAGTCAGAGTTAGCTTGTTTCTGATGCTGCTTAGGTTTTATCCTACTTGAATGTCACTAATCGGCATAGCAAATTGAGGTAATTGCATAATTGCATTTAATAAGTACACTAAACACAGCAACACAGAGACGCTAGGATTGTATAACATACGAGGCTGAAACAGGGCTGTCAATCATTCTGTTGCCGGAACTTTGGTTTAGGCTAAGTTAAGTGTGCCTTGTGCCCTCCAGTTATAATGTTCTTGTATGCTTTGGGGTGTTTTTGTGTGTGTATTTTACACAATCTTAGGCTAACGAACCCGGTTCTTTGTTTTTAGTCATGCTTTCATTGTTTTGATCTGTAAGGTCCGGCAGACAGTGAGCCAAAAAGAAGGACTTAAACGGAGGCTTGAATAAGATCATTTAATTTTTGATCAAAAGCAAAAGGCTGGGTAAAACCGTTCCAAACACATACAAAGAGACATGTATATGGAAAAGCCAACAACTTCAGAGAAAATGTGACCCCTTTGAATACCTTTAAAACACCAGTTAAATCCCCAATTCTGGCCCCCTAATTTAGGTTTGTGTATTCCTTGTTGCCCTGCAAGGGAATAGAAGCTTCCCAATTAGTCTTATCTCTTCCTTGAGCATTCCTTTGTTCTCTCAATTGGCCATTTGACCCCCTGGTTCTGCAAGGAACGAGCTTATACAGATCAAAGGTGTAAATTAGGGCTGAGGTGTAAATTATCCCTTGGAGGATGCCTGCAGTTCCAACTGAGATAAATACCATGCTCTTAGATGGCACAAGAAAAACAAGAAGATCATATTTTTATTGGGGATTTTACCAGAAACATGCGACAGAGAATTGCAATATTTAATTGTGAATGTTTTAACAGCGACTAGAATCGTATTTGCTAAAAATTGGAAAGGAGAGAAGTTACCTACTGATGATAAGATTATTAAGAAAATTATGGAATGTGCTGAAATGAGTAAAATGATATTTGAAATTAGAGAACAGGAAGATAAACAATATTATTTGATATGGGATTTGTTTTATCAATGGATAGATAATAAATCATGGAATCATGGAATTGAAGTATGAAATATGGGATTGATGTAAAGATAAAATACCTGAAGTTTTTTTTTTCTACAAAGATATAAGTTTCTGTTATATATTGGTATTTTAGAAATGGATTTATGCACAAGAGAATATTAACCGTTCGACTCACTGTCTGTAATTGTTTGGAATGATGATAGGTTTATGTTTTGTTTTTGTTTTAAAATAAAAAAAAATTCTCAAAAAAAAGAAAAGAAAAACAAGAAGATCAATATGGGTTCAGGAACATTTGTTTGACAAATACCAGATACTTTACAGAGGCTTAATAACAGTATATGTTTGTTACAGGAGATACAAATGTAAAGGCATAATATATGTGATATAAATACAAAGGCTAGATATGTGTTACAGGAACCTAATGGTTACAGAATAACAAGTTTCTACTAAATCTAGTATATCAGTATATTATATTCTATTTTTATTTATTCTATCCTTTTTATTGTTTCCCTACAGATCAAAAACCAGAAGTAGCCAGATAATTTTTATTAAAATTTTATTTAAAAGGCATTTTGGGCTTTTATAAGAGTAGTTTGATTATGTTGGATTTAAATAGGGACAGGAGGCAGGAAAGGTGGAGATAATACACACTGACTGACCTCAAAGTGACTCTTTTGGGGGGTGGGGAAACAGGTATTTAAACCCACTACTTCTCAACAAGCAATTCCTGAACTACATTTATTAAATTTCAAGGCAGTCTCAGAAGATCTCAGCAAACTGAATAATTGTCAAGAAACAGTGATTTTTAATTGACCAGTTATTTGTAATCTTGTAAAATGTCCATACAAGCTTTCAGTTGTATGCAGGTAATTCTCAATTTACAACCACAATGGAGAACAAAATTTCTGGTGCTAAGCAAGAGATTGTTATGTGAGTGGCAGCCAATTTTACAAGCTTTCTCGCTGTGGTTATTAAGCACATCACTGCAGTTGCTAAGTGAATTGCACAGTCATTAAGCGAATTCGGCTTCCCCCATTGTCTTTGCATGTCAGAAGCTGAGTGGGAAGGTTATAACATCACTGGGGGAAAAAATGACTTATAATTGAGCCTTGCTCTCATGACAGTTGCAGCTTCCCTATGGTCACATGGTCAAAATTCGGGTCCTTGGCAACCGACCTCTATTTAGGATAGTTGCAGCACCTGGTGTCACATGATCTCTAATTATGACCTTTGCCAGATGGTTTCCAGCAAGCAAAGTCAATGGGGGAAGTTGGATTCACTTAGCAAAAAAGATTGTAAAATTGGATGCAACTCACTTAACTTTCTGTAGAAATTCTGGTCCATCACCACTGTTTGGAAGTGTGATGTTTTTAATGGAAAGAAGGAAGCAAGCAAGCAAGGAAAGAAGGAGGGAGGGAGAGAAGGAAGGAAGGAAGGAAGGAAGGAAGGAAGGAAGCAAGCAAGCAAGCAAGCAAGCAAGCAAGCAAGCAAGCAAGCAAGGAAAAGAGGCAAACCAAGTTCCTTAATTGTTCCTTGTAAATCCTTCTCCTTAACCCCATCTCAAAAAATAAAACAAGGCTGACAAATAAATAGAACTTGTTTCCAGGAGAAAGACCTTACCAATCCTTCAGAGAGAATCGCAGAGGGGGCAGTTTCTCAGGCTAGCTCCATGTGAATGGTCCTCAAGAGAAGTCAAGAAACCCATCGTGCACCAAACAGACATCTGTTCAAAGCAGCATGATGAGCGAGTCTACACTCCAGCCATTCTTGCTAGCTCTGGTCTGACAATGGATATGAATACTCGCGAGCCAGAAAAATAATCCGGATTTCTCAATGCAGAGAGATCATAAATCCTGGATGGTTTGCTCCATTGTCATTGAAGTGACATGAGATAATTCTATATTTAAGGCGGCAGGGGTGGGCAGTTTATCCTTAGACACATTCTTGTGGGGATAGTCATGCTTAATGCCATCAAGCAAAGGACGGACATCACTCCGGTGAGTTTATTCTTCCTTAGAACTGAGACCTTCACCAAGCCTGCTCAGGTTTTCCTCTATTCCATTGGGAAAATATTTTTCAGCCTCAAGGTATGTGATCTTCTCCCCTCTCAAATATGTAACTTGCTTCGAAAGGTTGTCTGAGATTTTTCCATTTTACTTTACATGAAATAATGGTTTGATTCATATTCTACCAGCCTTTTATTTTATTTTACAAGAACATTTTGTTCTGTTCTTTTCCTCTATGTTACTATGAAGAGGAATACAATTAAAAACAAACAACCTATTCTTTTATATTAGGCGCCAAAACAGCTTATCCTTTTTTAAAATTACTTCTGTTTATTATTTCTAAAGTAGGTTGCATTTCTTTATCAATATAAGAGCTTGGGTGAGTGAGTGAGATATTTCCATCACATCGTATCAAATCATGGCAACGTCTAACCTTAATTCATGACTAATTCTTTTTATTTTAGGTAAATGCAAACTATAGCTTACAGGTTCTGATGAAACAGCAAACTGTGGTTTCCCATAAACAGGGACAGGGTGTTCCTAATTCTCATATGCAAGCATGATGAATATTAATGGGGCAAGCTCTTGGTACTCATTTTTCTAACACTGCAGGTTGTTTAGATACCGTTCTCATATCCTCCCAAGGATTTGTGGAGTTTCAGCAGCTTGGCACTTCAACCTTAAAACCTGGAAAGTGTGTATTTGTACAGGCAGCCCTTGATTTAAAACCAGAATTGGAACCAGAATTCTGTTGCTAAGCAAGGCAGTTGTTAAACGAGTCACACCTGATTTCAAGACCTTTTTTGCCAGAGTTGTTAAGTGAATCTCAGCAATTGTTAAGTGAACCTGGCTTCCCCCATTGACTTGGCTTGTTATAATCTGTCTGGGAAGCAGGGGTGAAATGCTCCCGGTTCGGACCGGATTGCCCGATCTAGTAGCGATGGCAATGGGTGGTTCGGAGAACCAGTAGCAAAAATCCCTGTGCCCCCCCACCATGCCCAGCTGAGCTGCACGATCATCAGAGGCTTTTTTTTTTTTTACTTTTAAAAGCATTTTTTCTGCAACTTCTTCCGATGAAAAAATGCTTTTAAAAGTAAAAAAAAAAAGCCTCTGGTGATCGTGCGGCTCAGTTGTGATTGTCAGAGGCTTTTCAAAGCATTTTTTTCTGCAATCTCTTGGACGAAGAGGTGGTAAAATAAATGCTTTGAAAAGTCGCTGATGATCCCAGCTGAGTTGCCTGATCGGCAGAGGCTTTTCAAAGCATTAGAAAAAATGCTTTGAAAAGTTTTTTTTAAAAAAAGTTGGCCACACCCACCCAGTCACATTACCCCACCAGCACCAAGCCACGCCCACAGAACCGGTAGTAACAAATTTTACATTTCACCCCTGCTTGGAAGGTCACAATTTTGATCCTGGGACCATATTGATGTTGTGTGGGTAGTAAATGTGCACATCAAGAATAAGTCTCTATTTTCAGTGTCATTATGGTGTCAAAATGGTTGCTGAACAAATGGCTGTAAGTCAAGGACTGTCTGTTTCATTATTTTATGATTTTAAAAAAAACGTGTTAAAGTGTTAAAGTGAACCTGTTGCTTCAATCATTTGCCTGATGTTGTCTGGCGCATATTCAAGATGAGTCCAGCATGGAGCTTTTGGGGGAAAACTGGCCATAAGGAAGCTCTGCATACAGATAGAAGTAGTCCTTGACTTACAAGCATTTGCTTAGTGACCATTCAAAGTTACAATAGCACTGGAAAAAGTGGCTTATATCATTTTTCATACCTGCAACCAGGGTTGAAATGCTCCCGAGTCAGACCAGATCACCTGTTCCGGTAGCGATGGAGGCGGGTGGTTCGGAGAACCGGTAGCAAAAATCCCTGCCCCCCCAATGCCCAGCTGAGCCGCACAATCATCAGAGGCTTTTTTTTTTTTACTTTTAAAAGCATTTTTTCTACAACCTCTTTGGCCAAAAAATGCTTTTAAAAGTAAAAAAAAAAATCTTCTGATGATCGCGTGGCTCAGCTGGGATCGTCAAAGGCTTTTAAAAGAAAAAACCCTTTTTTTCTTTTAAATGCCTCTGACGATCCAAGCTGAGTTGCCTGATTGGCAGAGACTTTCTTTCTTTTAAATGCCTCTGATGATCAGGCAACTCAGCTTGGATTGTCAGAGGCATTTAAAAGAAAAAAAGCCTCTGCAGATCAGGCAACTCAGCTGGGATCGTCAGAGGCTTTCGAAAGCATTTTTTTACAACCTCTTCACCGAAGAGGTTGTAGAAAAAATGGTTTTAAAAGTTAAAAAAAAATTGGCCACACCCACCCAGTCACATTACCCCCGCCCCCCAAGCCACATCCACAGAACTGGTAGTAACAAATTTTAGATTTCACCACTGCTTACAACCATTGCCGCATCCCCATGGTCATGGAATCAAAATCCAGAAACTTGGCAACTGGCGTCTATTTATGATGGTTGCGGTGTTATGACCTTTTGCGACCTTCTGGCAAGCAAAGTCAAGGGGGGGAAGCCAGATTCACTTAACAACCGTATTGCTAACTTAGCAGCCGCAATGATTCGCTTAACAACTGTGGCAAGAAAGGTCATAAAATGGGGCAAAACTCGCTTAGCAACTAGACAGTTGCAACAGAAATTGGAGGCTCAATTGTGGTCGTAAGCCGAGGACTACCTGTGTATAGAACCTACAAGATTAAGAGCCACGTTGCTAAGATGCCACTGCTGATGCCAGAGATGGTTACCAGTACTTGGGTTTCTTTTGAAGACAGAGGTCTTAGTTGGTCAGCATTGCTCATTTCAAGTTTGTTTATGCATCTGATTGCAATTTTCATATTCTTTCCCTTTCAGTGCATTTACATCAGGGGTGAAATCCAGCAGCTGATTTATCTTTAAATATTTTTGCCACTTTCTCAGGGTTGTTGTTTTTTTTCCACAAAAGGAAATTTTCTAGACAAAAAACTATCTACCTGTTTATCAAACAGTGTGTTTGAATTTTATTAAGAGGAACATGAGTGAGGAGTTGTCACTGTTTTAATTTCAAAGAGACTTTTATCTTCCTAGCTCTCAGAGTCTTTTCGCTCTGAGATGAAGAACAGCAGTTCAGGATTTGTAGATGACCATGAGTTTCTCCATGAGCAAATTCCTCCAACAGACAGAATGTCCTCAGCCTTTGGGCTCCGTTTTCACAGCTAAATCACCTTGAAGCAGAGTACAGCAGATCCTTTGAGCCTGTGAGATTCTGAGGATGTCAGCAGAGCATTCGAACAGATATTGATGGAATCTAAGCCTAAAACCGTAAGGGACGCAGTGGCTCAGTGGCTAAGATGCTGAGCTTGTCGATAGAAAGGTCGGCAGTTCAGCGGTTCAAATCCCTAGTGCCACGTAATGGGTTGAGCTCCCGTTCCTTGTCCCAGCTTCTGCCAACCTAGCAGTTCAAAAGCACGTAAAAAATGCAAGTAGTAAAATAGGGACCACCTTTGGTGGGAAGGTAACAGCGTTCTGGGCGCCTTTGGCATTGAGACATGCCAGCCACATGATCACGGAGATGTCTTTGGACAGCGCTGGCTCTTCGGCTTTCAAACGGAGATGAGCACCGCCCCATAGAGTCGGGAACGATTAGCACGTATGTGCGAGGGGAACTTTTACCTTTACCTTTTTTAAGCCTAAAACTAAAAACAAAATCTCACGTACTACCTCAGAGGCAAGCAAATGGCTTCTTCCGGGAGAGGTTTTTTATGGGCCAGAATTCATGCGAAAATCAACCTGTTTTCTTTTATTGTGTCAGAAGGCGGTTAGTTATTTTCACTCCTCTGTAAACTGAAACTTGTAATACTTCTCAGAGTTAACAGGAAACAGGAGATCTGAGGTAGATGTGTGTCATGTATTGTCACCAATACATGATTGGATTACGGAAGTACATTTGCACAATTCCTGCAGTATCCATAATGGTATCTTATGATCAGTGATGGGATTCAATTTTTTTTACTACCAGTTCTGTGGGCATGGCATCGCATGGTGGGCGTGGCTTGGTGGGTGTGGCAGGAGAAGGATACTGTAAAATCTCCATTCCCACTCCACTCCAGGGGAAGGATACTGTAAAATCTCCATTCCCACACTACTCCAGGGGAAGGTTACTGCAAAATCTCCATTTCCTCCTGATCAGCTGGGACTCAGGAGGCAGAGAATAGATGGGGGCGGGGCCAGTCAGAGGTGGTATTTACTGGTTCTCCGAACTACTCAAAATTTCCGCTACCGGTTCTCCAGAACTGGTCAGAACCTGCTGAATACCACCTCTGCTTATGATCTTGGAATATAATTTAAGGCAGGGGTCTCCAACCATAGCAACTTTAAATCTGGCAGACTTCAACTCCCAGAATTCTGGGAGTGGAAGTCCGCCAGGCTTAAAGTTGCCAAGGTTAGAGACCCCTGATTTAAGGAGTAGTTTTTCCCTCTCATTTTAATCCATAAAGGTCAGATAAAGACAACTGTATTCCTCAATTTACAATTATCGCTTAATGACCATTTGAAATTATGACACACCAGAACAGCTGCTTTAGGGCCCACAAAGCAGAAGTGGGTTTCAGCAGGTTCTGACCAGTTCTGGAGAACCGGTAGCAGAAATTTTGAGTAGTTCGGAGAACCGGTAGTAAAAATTCTGACTGGCCCCACCCCCATCTATTCTCTGCCTCCTGAATCCCAGCTGATCGGGAGGAAATGGGGATTTTTACAGTATCCTTCCCCTGCCACACCCACCAAACACGCCCACCAAGCCAGGCCACACCCACCAAGCCACACCCACAGAATCAGTAGTAAACATTTTTGAAACCCACCACTGCCACAAAGCACTTTGGCCATCGTAAAATATCAGTACACACACACACACACACACACACACACACACACACACACACACACATATCAGTCATTGTGACTGCATTTTGGATGCCTAACTGTGGAGTTGGGATCGTAGAAACACCCAGGAGCATAGAAGAGTTCAGAGGCAGATGCATAAATAAATGTCTTAAACATATTTATTCATGCAATGCCGACTGATGACCCCCAGGGGGAGAGCC